GGGGGGGTGTGTATTGTGTTACGATTATCAAGTTGAAATAATCTATTTAATCTCGGTGCCTTTGGATGTGTTCGCGCAGTTGTGTTCTGTTCACACATTAAAATACATGTATTCTAAATTTCCTACATGCCTTCGACTGTAGTGTTCTGTTTACCACAATGAAACAATATAGATATTCTCGGGTTGTGGGATGGGAAGACACAGTTGTGTTCTGTTTATCAGATTGACACAATATTTCTGCTCCGTACAATCAATGGGATGTTTTGTGTTCTCTTAATGAGTTTAAACCAATTTGGTGTCTTGTGATGTGTTGTGTTAATCAAATTGAAACACTCTAGATATCCTTGGGGTCGTGGAATGTGTTGATACAGTTGTGCTCTGTTTATCAGTTTGAAACAATTAGTGTTCTCGGTACCATGTGTTTGCTTTGTTTTCTGTTTATCACAGCACAACACAAGACAGCTGGTTTATCACATTAAAACAATGTAGACAATCTCGCGGCAGTGGGGTGTGTAGTTTGATATTTGCTAGTTTAAATGAAACATATGGGAAAATAATAATTCCTCCCTTTCGTTGTTTGCCATACATGTATGTGAATACAGAAAATAAACTTTTTGTACTTGAAAATCTCAATATAAAGAACATCTTTTATGAAATGAAAACAAGAAGTCATATTCAATATTACCAAATTTATTAACCATTTTAAGTCAGGCAGACATACTTTAAAAAATAACAAACAGTTTATTCCTTAACATCTGTAATAATGAAGTATTCAGGACAAAGAATATAGGAAAGCTTTCGAGGGAAAATAATTTTACTGTCTTCAGTTTAGGAATGAGAATCAGATGATGTGTCTTTGACAATATAAACCAGTCACAAAGTACTTATCTCCCATTGGTCAATTGTTTGTATTTAATTCAACTAATCAGATGTTATTTTAGACTGGTACCCTAAATTGTTTCTAGCATGTAAAAGAGACCTTATCATGTTTAGTTACTGTTTTGGATATTTCCTGAATTTTTTACAATATTTACCCCCCCCCCCCCTTGTTGTACCTGGCAGCCATTTTGAGGATCATTATTCTATCAGATATAATTACCAAAAAACTATGAAAAAAGCAAAATAAACAGGTGATTCAGGTGAATTGCTGAATTCTTTTATATATGTGAAGGAAAATATCGCTGTAGCACCGCTATCCGCTATATAAAAGATTTTTTCGACATAATGAAAATGATTTTTATCTTATGAAATGATATTTTTTTTTATCTTATCTTGAGCGGAATGACCCACAAAACGGCAGCCAGGGGAGTTTATACATGCTTTCAGAAAATATTTTATGTCAAATAATCATTAAACATCCCTATCTTAAGACTACATTTTTTTTTTCATTTGTATTATTTTCCCCCTCAAAAGTATAACGGAAACCATTCAGGCAAGTGATATTGTTTATAAATAGTTAGACTTTTATAAACAATAATTGTATTGCAATATTGAATTGTCACACATACTTTAAAGTGTACCTGGCCAAGTAAAGCCATCAGAGTAATGCCCTCTGAATATGCTTAAATGGTCTGTAAATATATCAACCATTCTTCATATCATCTAAATAAAGGTATAATGAAGAGGTGATATGATGAAATGAAAATGCAACTAAATGCAATGAAATAAATATAGAGACAAAGTTAACAATTCCATTTTTCTTAAGCTGACATAACCACAGTAACAACAAAATAACCTCTGTAGAGCAACTCCCTTTGGGAGACAAAAGATTTTAGTTTTTACCAAGGTGTTATACTAAAGACTGTGAGGTTGTATTTTCAATATTGTTTTGGAGAGAAATGAATGATACGGTTGCTGTAAAGAAACACTTGTTCTACAGGGAACCGCTTTGCAAATGTTTCACAGTATATAATGTTTTTTCCCCTTTTCTTCTTAAAGTTTAAACTTGAAATCTCAACAAAAAAAAAAAAAAAAAAAAAAAAAATGCAGTTCCGCACAACTTCTTTTCATGTAGATTTATCCTTAGCACTTGTATTTACATTTATATCAAACATGCAGTAATGTTTGATGAAAAACAATAATAAAACATGGTATGTACAATGAATAACAGTAGATAAAATATGATCAACATTTACAATTACCCTTTGTACACTGAAAGTTTTAAATCAATCAAATAAGAAAGCTATTGAAAAATACTTTGAACCAATTATTAACATAATCTTTAAACAATTCTCTTTTTCAACCGGCCAAAATAAATTAAAATCCTCCCTAAAAATGCTTTTACCCTGCTTAACTTCTATTATAGACTGACTTGTTCAGTTTACTATTTGAATTTATCCTGCGTTAATTTTAAGTGTATAAAGCGATATTTTCTGTGTTTTTTTGTTGTTGTTGTTTTTTTTCCATAACATTTATAAATTACACAATTATATTGTTTCCATAATTTTATACTTTATTCTTGAAAGAGTTTTAACATAGAATATCTCTGTTATTTAACAAACATTAATGTTGTATCTGAACAAAATAAAATGTTCTGGAACAAAAATTTTTTGTGCTACTTTCAGTACGGTGTTTACCATTTGGCAACCATTTTGTGCATGCATAATTGACTTCAGGAAATATACAAATTTATGTATTTAGGAAAAATATACAAATTTATGTATTTTATAAGGTATTCTCTTTCAAAATTCAAACAATAATTCTGTAAATTATTGGCAGCAGATATATAGCTTTATACACTTTAAATGGCTTCAAAATTAAACTACTGAAATTTAACATCAGCTAAACACAGAACCTTGTCAGACTATGCAGGAAAATCTTTTAAATGCAACTAGAATGCAGCTAAATAAATGCTATTTCATATAAATTGTGTTTAAAGTGACATTATGCTCATCTTTTCATCCTGAAGTTGAACTAAATTGACAACATATTTCGAAAGATTGACTGTTATAATGGTGATTGACCAACAGTTGATATTTGAAAAAGTTTTGGATAGAATATATATATCTTGCCTTAAATATAAAAAGACTGCCCCACTCTTTTTATAAATTGATCGTTTTTGGTACATTCTGATAGATATTTAGATAAATTTCTTTGGGCCATGTGAGTGATTTATCGTTCATGCGAAGTAAATTATAAAATTGAAAGGAATTCTGACAAAATGTAAACTTGTTCTGACTTTTACCTGTTCACTCACTATATACCCTTATATGGGCATAATGTCAATTATAATGTCACTTTTACCTAGCTAAGATCATTTGCAAAATTTTTCCTACGGCAAGCATGCATCATTATCATAGAAAAAGAATTTTACCAATTTTTTTTTTCAGATTTTAAAGTGGATTGGTCTACAATGGACACATTTTCCATAAGTATTTCAAATATTGATAAACAATACAAGTGCATCATTTACATATTCTTATGAAATAGTTTTGAAAACAAAATATTGATAGAGTACTAAAGATAATTAATTAAGAGATAATTAAGTATGAACATAATATAATATGATGAATAATAATATTTTGTTTAGAACAATTTTTTATCTGCTATATAAATATATGTAATATTGGATCATGTATGTAAGATTTACCAACAACATCCATATATATGAATCTTTTGTGGTTTGTTTTCACGCTGTTTTGATGTATGATACTAGATAATACCAGCAAAAGCACAATTTATATGGTATAACAGATCTTCTATTATAGACCAATTCACTTTAACAGTTTCAAAATAAACTGAAAACATTATTTCATAATTTAGATGTAACCCATCAAAATTTAACCTTAACAATTAAAAATCATTTTAACACACATCTTATTACTTTATTACATAAAAGTAATAAAAATATCAAGTTAAGGATATGTAATATTACATACATATTTTATAAATGTGTCAAATTTATGCTGATTTATGTTGTGTAGTCAATACACACAGTTCGTGTGTAGAACATATTACACATATGCAATCTTGGAATCAATACATTCACTAACTATTCAAAAAACCAAACAAGTTACAACATGGGTGCTCATAAAATATAACACTAAATAAATATCAGGAGCTAAAAATAACTGGATATAGTAACTGCATTATGACAACATACATATGAGCCTTGTCACGAAATAACCAACATAGTGCATTTGTGACCAGCATGGATCCAGACCAGCCTGCGCATTTCGCGCAGTCTGATCACGATCCAGATGCTGTTCGCTATCAGTTTCTCTACTTGTAATAGAGTTTGGTAAGCGAACAGCAATAGATCCTGAATCAGACTGTGTGGATACGCAGGGCTGGTCTGGATCCATGCTAGTCGCAAATTTGCACTATGTTGGTTTTGTCGTGACGCGGGCTCATATATGTGTCATGCATAAGAAAATATGAGTTATAAAATCAAAATATATACACACACATTCAGTATGTGTAAAACCAACTCAAAATTAACAATTATCTCGCATTAGTCTAGTTGTAAACAAATGATAATCCTTACTAGATGTACATGACAAAAAGCTAAAAATTTACAACAATCCAGTTTTTAAAACTTGAGGTAGAATTTTACAGCACTTAATCTCTTAAATATCTAATATAAATAAATCAAAATATCTTTAAATAGCATGTAATATCATAAAAGCTGAGACACCGCCCAAAAATGACCCTTAAAAACAGCACATGCTAAAAAGCACTTTATCAAATATTAAAAATACCACCACCATATAAAAGGAAATATTTGTATACTTGATGAGAAAATAATTTCTCAAATAGTTTACAGTTTTTTTCACAAAAAAATTAAAAATTCTAAAAGCAATTACAATGGAAGCAAAAAAAAAAACACCACTTTGCACCATTTTGATTAAAAAAAAAAAATATTGTGCTAAAGGGAATAAATAGCAAGTTTTAAAACAAGATAATTTAAAGATTTTTTTAAAAGTAAGCATGTAAAAAAAATGTTTGAATATTTCCATTTTTCAAACTTATGAAAATTTTACAAATGAAAGTGCCTCTGCCCTTAACTAACAAATGCCCTATGAGGATACACACTAACAGCTACTGTTTCATTACAGATTTCATCCTTTAAGGTGAAGCACTCTGACACTATGAATCACATAGATAGGCTCTGCTTTTTTATCTTCCGACTGCGCATCCAAACATTTCAGTCAACAGGTCACAGAAGGGCACTACTCCTTCTTTTTTCACACTTTGAAAGTACAAAGTGGCCCTCTCTGCAGCCCGTCTAATATGGGTCAGTAATAAGATAAGGGACGGCACATGACGCAAATTGTCTGGATGATATTTTTGTGCAATGTCAACAGAACTGTCCAGAATATTTTGTCGTATTTCTTGTAATTTGCTGAAACTTGCCAATTTTCTAACCTCTGAAAAAAAAGCAACCAAAAACCTGTGTAAGATAAAACCCCTAAATATTACAATATTGTACATCTTATTCATTTTTAAACACATTTAGACAGCTTTAACCTAGCCGGCAACACTTAGTAAATACTTAGAAACTAGCATTATCGTACAATAACAATTTTTCAATATCTTGTATGCTGAGAGTGTATTTTCTCCTTGATATTAATTATCTAAAGTTTGCCAATAATAATTTCAATGTTCCTTATCACATATTTACTTAAAAAAAAAAATAAATAAAAAAAAATAAAAATAAAAATATAAAAAATTTAAATATAGTAACATTAACACCTTAAGACACTGACATTACCAAGAAGTGTACTGTTCTAATGTTTCTAGAAAGAAAAAAAAAATACTGACCAGCATTGGCAAGAACTGTTGCCTGTAGCAACAAGAGCTCTTCATTACGAAGATTGTATTGCACAAGTTGATCTGAGATTGCTGCAACGTGCTCCAAAACATCAGCCATTCCCAGTATTGACCAGTACGGTCTGTAAATAATTAATAATACAAAATTTAATTTAAATGTAAATTTGAATTGATTAAGTGAAGGCACAGTGGTGTATGGTCTGTAAATAAAGAATAATAGAAAATTTACTTTAAATGTAAATTTGAATTGATAGAGTGAAGGCACCATGCATTGAAAAAGCTACAGATTAGACTCCAAATTGGCAAAAACCAAAA